ATATTCTGTATTGGCAAATGTAAGTGCTAACCCCTGGAGGAAAGTAGCAAAAAATTTGGACATACTGAATAGATTGAACATGTCTTTATATTAATATGGTTTGGATCATCTTCAACTGCTGTGATTAATTAATTTAATTAAATAAAAATTATTAACATACGCACTATTTGTAAATATTTCTAATTATAGAAGAGGAAAGGAATAGGGTGATAAATTTTTGATCATTAATTAATAAAAAAATTGTATATCAAAATAATGTTGTGATGTGAATATTGGAACAATCTTACTAATTTTGATAAAATAATAATTAGAATGATTGAAATTGCATACACAATATCCTTTTCAAGTGTACCATGTGAAAGAAGATTCTCAAAGCAGAATCTAATAAAACCAAAATTAGAAAGAATTTATCAATTGATAATTGTTACGAGCCCCACGAGAAGATATGTCAATATTATAGCACATCGTAATTAGGACTCAATAAATAATTATTGTTTTTAAAGACTAGTGCCGTAATCCAAAAAAGGAAAAAGGATGGTTGCAAAAGTGGTCACAAAGGTAATTGCAACCACTTTTTATATGCCGTAAATACAATTACTACCATCATCATAATTTACGGCACTAGTCTTTAATTGTTTTATAATATTAATATAGTAATAATAATAATAATCCGGTTTGAATCCGGTAGGAGATATTTATGCATGAAACCAACTAAGAAAATAAGTATTAAAGATACTCCATACTATATAGTCTACTAATATATGAAATAGAAAAATGTTGTAATTGAAGAGGTCCTCATAAGCCGTTGTGCGCCAACATGGGCCCAAATATGAATAAAATAAAAGAAAACAAGAGCGATATATGTAACATCCTCCTGACATTGATCAGGATTCTGAATCCATTCCACGTACATTCCAATTAAAAGTGCGGCCAGCTGGGATTTTTTTCCGGAGATGTAAGTCTTCCTCGTGAGTTTTGTTTAATTCCATAAACAACATTTTTTTCAAACTCGAGAAATCATGTTGTACACCGACATTGCTTTTATGATACTTGAGAATTGTCTTATAGAGGTATGGACGAGAAGAGAAAGTCAAAACTAGATCCGGTTTAGTCTCATTGAGCAATATAGAATTCACGAGGTGTACGGTAGCCGAAGGGATTTTGGCAAAGCGAAAGGTAAACATATCATCCTCCTGTCTTTTGAGACCTACGCTATTTAGAAGCGAGTCAAATGCCGTCTCTGGATTTCTATCAGTGCTGCGGCCATATTCATGACTTGGTACATATTTTGGAGTCGCTACATAATTCGGAATTGCTGCTGGATGAGGAGCATTTTCGAGTATCGAACGTTTAAAACCCATAGTCTTAAAAGTCTCAGTCCAAACGTCGGATCCAATTTCTTTTCTTTCATTTCGGAGCGAAGTATGACAGAGGACCAACGCTAGCTTTGGAGAGATGACATAAAAATAATGGTAGGCAAATTGGAATGGTAAACCACCAACCATTGTCCCAGTCACTCCCTCGAAGATTCCAAACCCGTTGCTGGTTATAATAAACTCGTCATTTTCACCAGCTTGCCAAATTACGAGAAAACCATCGATCATGCGCTGCCTGTAATCGTCTCTATCTATAAAAAAGATTCGCGAGTTGTTTTTGATGTCTTCATGTGGGGTATCTAGTATTTCACGGATGTTCTGTAACCACACTTCCCGAGTGTGTTGTAATTTGTGCTGCCGCATGAAGTCTTCTACCAACTGCAAAGTGGCGAAGTCAAATTTCTTCATGGTAAACTGAGACCATCGTTGAGGGTTTCGATAGTTCATAATGAAAAGGAACTTGCGTAGATTACTGAGATCTCTTCTGAGTAAAACAATCTGATTTTCTACTTGGGATGCCTTCAGAATATCTCGGATCATTTTTGATGCTTGTCCCTCAAGTTTTGCTAGTTTTTCTTCCACGTGCATCGCATCTTCATGGTTAAAATCTTTGTACATGTTTTCGTATCCATATGTTTTTGCAATTAAAGAGACGCCCAGTTGATTTTTTGTTCTGTCGTAAGTTTGGAGAAGCTCCGTTCTCTTTTTCTTCTGCAAAAAGAGCTGCTTTCTGAGTAAATTATTACTGCTCGCAAATACCCTCTCACAATTGTCAATAGCAAAATTACGCAAAAGAAACCTTGGAATGTAGTGATGGTATTGGTCTTTATCTTCCATTGGTATAAAATTGGTATCTAAAATATCACACTACTGGCAAAACTTTGTGAAAAAAATATGGTTATGCAAATTTTGGACCATTGAGGTTTTCTTTTCTTAATTAGGTGTAGCTTAAACCATTATTAGGTTGCACGGATTACGCGTACATGTTACACGTATTGCATAGTCATGTGATCAGAAATTGAAAATATATGATTGGGCTAGGACCTCGGACAATTATAATTGAACTTGTATTGAGAAAAGTGGGTAGTGATCTTCAAGTATTTACATAATAAAAATTGGGTTTTAAAAAAAAAAGTCCCAAAAAGGCAACTCACTAGCCATTTTTAGTAATATATTCTGAGTATTTTTCTGTTTTCTTACATACCAGTTCAAATATGGGGTGTGGACAATAGAAACGGACCATGTTGTGAAAAAAGTAATTTTGAGTTAGTATCACTATTATATGTAATTCCTCATGTAGAACTTTTTTGGCTTAGAAACCATACCCACTTTGCTTAATAAAACTTTGAGATACCCTCCATTAAAGTTTTAATTACTTGAAATGCAGATCTTTTTTTAAAATTTTCTCAAAACATCATTTTCACAACATGGTCCGTTTCTATTGTCCAGACCCCATATGATTGTTCGAGGTCCTATTGGGCTCGGTCTAAAGACCTCCTATTGCTGCGCCATGCGCTCAAATTTCAAAAATTGCGATTTCATGATTTGTTCAAAATGCAATAAATTTTTTAAAAAAAAGGGCTTCACGTGATTTTGGTTAAAAATTTCTGTCAAATTCAGATATGATGTCGAGTGTTAGTCTAAATTTAGTAATGATGATCAAAAACTAGTATAAATTTAGCAATGATCATAACGTTCAAATTTCTCATGAGCATAGTAAAGTACATGTTTTAAAAAGAATAGAACTCTATAACAAACAATTTTTTTGAGAAAATCTTTCCATTACATTAAAACTAAAGGCACATTCTATCATCTAATAGAGCTATTTTTTTAAAAGGTAGGACAAAAAATGACTTCTATACTTTTAAAATTTGCCCAAAATTTAGGAGGTCTTTAGACCAAGCCAACTATATCATGTTACGCATATCGTGTCAATTTAGTCTTCATGGAACCGGAAATTTTATTTTATATGACCGCCAAATTAAGCTCCTGATCTTATTAACGCGAACCTCGAAAGCTGATTGGTGAATTTTTTCTGTTTAGTTATAGCAGATGCATGGGACCAGTCAAAAAATCCGCTACGACAAAAATTCTCAGATAGGCCTGCGGATTGTATTTTAGTTAATTTATAACCTCTGGTAAAAAAAATTTTTTGATGTTAAATTGCATCGAAGAGCCTTTTCGATCTATAAAATCAAGACCTCTTCGGTATCAGTAAATGGAGTAACATATGATCTTTTTAATCTTTAATTTTGCTTGATAATATGAATCAATTTATGCATTTAACAGAATCTTTTAATATGTCACTAACTTGGCTTGTACTAATTCCATAAAGTCAATATCTCTTGGTTCAGGTTTGCTTTTTTTCGATATACATAATTCGCGTTTTTTTGTTCTGAAGTAATATGCATCCGTTTTTTGGATGAAGATGATTATTGTTGAGATATTTTAATAAAGAATTTTTTTTGTAATTTTCAATTATATAGGATTATTTAAAAGTTTAATAATAAAATTTCATCTGAATTTATACATTTAGAAGAAATTGTTTGATTTAGAAATTTGGATAGATATTTGATTAAAAATCCGTTTGTTTATTGTGGATGTAAAAAACAACGGTTTATTATTATTCATTACTTGGTAATTTGAATTTAATCTAGCAATTTGTAATATGCATGTATATAAACTTGAATGTCACGTGAATACGTTGTGGTGAGATTAATGATAGTAATATATAGTAATAGTAATAGACAGAAAAATATCTGCCAAAAATTAATTGTCGTTGTGACATGAATTCACTAATAGTAATAAAATCCATTAATATAAATATTAAGATAAAATACATTTAATTATAATAATAATTAGTAAAAGAAGGGAACTACATCTAAACCAGTTATAGCAAAAATTTATTGTGGCTATGGCAAGGTTTTATTGACTGTATTAGTAGAAACGTGTTAGCGAATAGCCCTATGGTGACATTTTTCGGTTCGAGCTTCCTTTATATTAATGCGATTCACTATTAACCGGAATTATAGTGTCGCAATCACCTTTACTCTTTTAAAGTACTTTCAAATCGTAGTGTTTGCAGTCATATTCAATGGAGTTTTCCCGTCCTATTTTAATGATACACGCTAAATCATTAGAAAATTAAACGAAAGAGTAATCGAACTGAAAAAGAGAAATTACAAGATTCAAAATTTAGTAATTAGCCGAAATTATGGCTTTACTGGATGGTTGTATAAGATTTACTCTTAAATACATAAAATTAGTTATTGCATGCATGAAATAATTAAAAAATCGTAGAATAAATCTTTCATGCCATAACTTTTTAATTATTAATGTCTACAATCCTATAAATTTACCGACAGATTTCATTATGAGCAGCTTTATAAAAAAATTAAGTTACAATATTGTCTAATGAGACTATTCCCTCTTAGAAATATAAAAAAACCTTCCAAAAGGAACAATGTACAATTAAACTGCAAGCATATCACATTATCAAATTCATTCCCTTCTTTACGAGCTTTATTTGTTCTTTTACATAAATACCAATTCCTTAATTATAATTTTTATGATCTTCTTTTGTTATTATATTATTCTATTATTACTATCACCTTTTATTATGAAATGAAAAAAATGAGAAGGTCACTTTCAACAATTTTGCAATTAACAATTGATAATTTTGATGCAATCAGTCCCAGATATTGTAATCAGACTTATATTGAATCCAACGATCCAACTATGAGTTATCATATCTTTTACGCTTTCCAGGATTAAATTTGAACAAATTATATCATTAAAATTCCATGATTCTGTTGCAACAAATATTTCCAAAATCATACAAAATTTTCTTTGTTTAAAATCTGAAGTAATAATGGTTAACTACCATCTTAATGTTCATGTAAATTTATTTCTTGAACAAAAACCACCAGTTCTATACGCAGACTATATAATGTAAGAAAAAAATAGTCGAATCAGAATTAAGAAGTTACATTGGAATACATTGGCGTATGGAATCTATTAAGGTCGAAAACTTGTCAACATGTGCAAACGATTTAATCAGACTAATAACAAAATTTAAAAATAAATATGACACTAAGGGTGTTTATTTGGCTACATGCTACCCTTTGTATCCAAGATATGAATCTCGGCCAACAACCTTTAGAGACTTGATAAATTTTCATCGTGATGCAGTGAAAAAACTGCTAGATTCAGGACACAAGATAGATGATTATTTATCAATGAATATACTTAAAGATATGAGAAACGATCCAAGATGCAAAGATGAATTTGAAGGTCCTGGTATTATTAGAATCATAGATAAATTGACGTGTATGAATTTAACTGTTTTGATATATAGTTCAGCACGTTGTGCCAGAAACTCCAGTTTCACCGCAAGAATTATCGATGAAAGAATAAACGCCCATAATAATGAATTTTTGGTTTTAACTGGTACTAAAATCGAATAGATTATGTAATAATTTTAGAATTTTAAATGATGATCATTTTTATCAATTGATTCAAAAAAAAAAAGTAATGACAAAGCTGATTGTAGTGGCAATTATTGACGATTTACAGCAAGGTAAAGGGATTAATTTTTTTTCTTTATGCTAACTCTAGAAACTTACCAATTAAATTAATAATAACTTTGTCAGAATATACTAGATCATCAAAATTATGTGTTTGGTTTCCAAGAACATGGTGTTTAAAAAACTTCATCAAACCAAATCAGATAATATCAATATCTTTGATCTCTCCAAAAAATGTTAACAACAATAATTCAATAAATAAAAAATGTTATCATTATGCATCAGTCAAATTTTATTCAAAACGTTCAGAATTATTTAAATCAAATAATTTATTTCCTAATCAATTAAAATTCCATCTGCCCACGACAACGATCACTTCTACTTCTACTATCGATAATTTATCACAATTGATGAATAATTTGAATATAAGTTCTTCTTCTTCTGCTTCATTGGATGTAAATTCTAAAATAATGGAAAAAGAGGGTGAAACTGAAATTGTTATTTCAAGATCTTTAGCTTGTAATTTAGGTGTTTGTTCAGTTCAAGATAAAATTGATAATATAAAATTTCCAATTAGTTTTATCTTTGAAAAAAAGGTGACTATAAACATATATATTTATAATTAGAAAAAACTTTTTTTTAATTAATAAAGTTTAATTATTTGTTATTAGATAGACAATATTCCAATTGCAACAGAAGTGATTTTATCTAAACTATCATCACCACCATCAACGCTGCCGTTAGGAACTCGATTTAAACAGATAAACTATTATTTTAATCAAGAGATTTTCAAGAGAGCAAATCTTGGGTCAATTGTATCACGTGATTCGATTATTTATCAAAATGGATGTAATGGAATACAACTTTATAAAGTATCAAGAGTGAATTCTTCTTTTATTTTGACTGATCCAGCTGATTCTGTTGCGAGAATTGCAGAATCAACCAAATTAGAAATTAATGTAAATAATAATAATAATGTCGACGTTGATGATTTTAGATTATTGTTGAATGGCTTCCCGGATAAATCAAAATGGGTCAAAGATATTGTTAATGAAATTGGCAGCTTAGATGATGTGGTTACAAGCATTATCGATCAATTATATACATTTGTGATTACTGCAATCAGTGCTAACAATCAGGGTTCAAAAAAAAAAGTTTTCAAGAGGAGTAAAGGAATTTTGTTAATAGGAAAACCTGGCACAGGAAAAACATCCTTAGCCTTACGTATTGCGGGTAGGAAATGTTTTTTTCAGAATTAATCAATTGGTTTTATTTTTAAAATTCTTATTTTTTTTAAAAAAAAAGAAACTTCTAGATTGCCATATCTGATAATTAATTGTCCTGAAATATTTAAATCTGGTAACTAACTGGTTGGTTATATAATAGATATTTTTATTGTCAATTACATATTCATTCTATAAATTAATTTATCTATTTAATTGAAATTTGTCTTAATTAAAAAAAAAAGACGAAGGCATAGTAGAAAATAGGTTATGTACAATGTTTGAATCAATGATGACGATAAATCCAGTTTCTATTATTATAATGGATGAAATAGATATAATATCTGATAACTCTGCTATTGTCAATTCAGGTGATTAATAATATTATTTATTTTTTGAATTCCTCCAAGGATTATTTATAGTTTTATTAATTTGTTTAAAAAAAAAACAGGTGTTGAAATGAAATTATTTTCAGCTCTTATAAAAATTATTGATTCAATTAATGAAGATAATTATTGTGATGGACTTGAAAAAAAAGGACAGATATTTGTGATAGGTTAGTAATGGCTGTGGTAAAGAAGCTGGATGTTTTTCATGATAATAGCAGCAATAATAATTAATGTTTTTATTGATTTTATTAGGCACAACAAATAGATTTCATGCCGTTAGTAATAAAATTTACCGTTCTGGTCGATTAGATCGTATTTATGAGTTAAATATAAAAACATCTCATCAAAGATATAAAATATTGGAAATAATTACAAAAAGTGAGTATTATTTTTATAAATACAAAAAAAAATCGCGCGGAAAACGTAAAATGGAATAATTTATTAATAAAAAATTGCATTCATCAGAAATTCCATTTGAAAAAGGAAAAAAAAATTTAATTTTAGAAAAAATTAGTAAAACTACCCATGGGTTTGTTGCAACAGATTTACAATATTTGTGTAAACAAGTTTTAATGAAATCTGTTAGTATTTCTAATATTATTAATATATGTATTATATTTATACTTATCAAATAATAATTATTGTTTTTAAAGATTCTTTCAGGTGCAAAATTTTCAGTCGATTTGAATGATTTTTATGAATCCTTAAATATAGTCAAACCTTCAAATTTGAATGAATTCCAGACAAAGGTAAATACAAATAACGAGCGTTATAATAATAATGACAGTACTCATTATATTTATTTTTATAAGATTTTGGATGTTAAATTTGCTGATATTTTTGGAATAGATGATATTATAGAAGAAATAAAAGCAAGTTATTTTTTATCACTTTACTTTTTTTGACTAAACTAATTCAATAATGATAAACTTATTATTACTGTATTTAGTTATCAATTATAGAACCATTTAATGATCCTAATAATGAATTCTTTGATTTTGGTATTTCAGCACCAAATGGGGTTTTAATTTATGGTCCACCTGGAGTAGGCAAAACTATGTTATGTTGCGCGATAGCATCTGAAATTGAAATAAATTTTATATTAATAGAGGTAATAAATTTACAAATCAGTTTTTTTTCATTAATCTTGATTTTTCTTTTGCTCATAAAATTCTATAATTATATACATATATATTGGTTAGAGTTCACAAATAATATCTAAATTAGTTGGCGAATCTGAAAAAAATATTTCAAAAATATTTTCATATGCAAAATCCAATTCACCTTGCATTCTATTTATTGATCAAGTAATAACAATAATATTCTTATTTTAAAAAATTCTTTTTTATTTTAGAGAATTAATAAATAAATAAATAATTTTATTATTGATTTTTTTAGTTTGATATATTGGCACAATCCCGTGGAATAAATTTTACCACTGAAAATACATCCGAAAGGATTGTGACAAGTTTTTTAACAGGTAAACAAAAAAAAATATTTATATGTTTGTTTATTTTAACCAGGAAAAAACCTATTTATTTATTATTTGCTTTTCCTATTTAGAAATGGATGGATTTTTCACTAATAAAGCTGAAGACAAGTACAAAGTATTAGTAATTGCAGGTAATGAAAAAAAACCACCCCATTGTTGACTATTTAATTTTAGATCTTTTTCATCTCGTCCTTTCTTCCTTAAAAAAGCTACAAATCGACCTGAAGTTTTAGATTTGGCTATTTTAAGACCTGGGAGATTAGATCAACATATTTATATTCCGCCTCCCAATAACAAGGTTCTATTTAATTATAACTGTGTGAAATTTTAAATTTTAAATTCCATTATGATATTAATCATATATATATATATATACATGTATTTAATAAACATATATATAGCAACGTTATTCAATATTATCAAATAAAATTTATAAAATGTCAACTAATTTAACAAAAGAACAAATTGAAACAATGTCACAAGTAACTGAGGGGTTTTCGGGTAATAACAGTAAATGTTTGTTAAAGTCGAATGAACATCGTTGTATGAACATAAATAAATTTCGTTATAACGAACATTTTATTTTACCCTGCAAAATTTCTGTGATCGATATGCTATTACTAAATTTATCATTTATTAAATTGCCTTTTTGTTATTCAAAAAAATTTACTTTATTATAGGCGCAGATCTGGATAATTTATGCCGTGAAGCAGCATTAATTTGTCTTAGAAAAAATATTAACAACGACGTGGTAATTTATTAATAATCTATTATGGAAAATATATATTTAATATTTACTAACCATTTAAAATATTTATTAATGGCTACATAAGGTTACATTCGATTGTTTTGAAGAGGCGTTAAAATTTTCTGATCCGTCATTACTTAATTATCAACCCATGCGTCCCTTCGCATGAAAATTTCATCACTCCCATCGTCGATCATAATTTTTACTTAATGATGACGGTGAAATGATGTAACAAAATTATTTTCACGAGATAATCGTTTATATAATCAAATAAGCTTTGAAATATTAAAAAATTGTGAAGTAATGACTAAATAATGATGTAATTTTTTTTAAATCGAATGTAAAAATTTTCCTATAAATACACAGGGAAAAAATGAATTGTTTTTTTCATCAACTCGAATTCAATATTCAATTCAAATCAAAAAAAAAAAAAAATATCAATACAAAATTTTAATAAATTCAATTAAACACTTCACTTTTAATAATAAATAATTAAACATGAGTACCAATAATGATAACAACACCGAACAAACCAAGACTGGTTCCACCGCCAAATATTATGCCGGTGCTGCTGAAGAGAACCTTGGAAAATTGGTCGGTAGCGATAAAATGAAAGTTGAAGGCGAATCTAAAAAATTAGAAGGCCAAAGTGAATATGAAGGAGCCAAAAATCAAGGTTATGTAGAAGGTAAATATATATTTAATTTGTCACATAATTGTTGCTTTTTTTATAATCGATCGATTTTAAAATTTTTTAATTTTAATTTATTCCAGGTACCACAGATAAAGTCACTGGTACAGTCAAAGAAACAGCTGGCAACGTCGTCAACGACGATAAAATGAAGGCAGAAGGAAATGTAAAAAAGAACAAGGGAGACACACAACGTGAAATCAATAAATAAACAAAATATTGTTTTTTTTTTTAATAATTAGTTTAATTTCAAAAATTTTTTTATATTTTGAAAAAATAATAAATAAATATTAAATCTCGAATCTAAATAGTGTGTAAATTCCAAAATAATTTTTTCTTTGCCATAATTGAAGTCGGTTGACCTACCTTGTGCTGTAAATTTTGAAATTTTTAAATTCACGTGCGTGAAATTTAATCAAAGAAAGTGCAATATGCGAATGTAACCAAATTTGGTAACTATTTGCAAAAATCTGCCGCTAAATTCCAAAAATTGGTTAGTGCTTGCACGTTCCGTGAATTTTATACTAATACTATTTACTATAGTAATAGAAATTTGCATACGTATTAATTATAATTTTTATTGTTATGGAATGAATTATTTATAAAGTATACGGAAATTCGCAATTTTCCTTATCATAAAAAAAAACATATCAAATTAACTGAAATTACGTATATCTGATATATAGTTATACGGAAATTCGCAATTTTTCCGTATCATGAGAAAAACGTACCAAATTAACTGAAATTATTACCATAACTCAATATCTGGTTTTTGGATATAAACAAATCCCATTCCGAAATGTATAATAAAAAATACAATCTTCGCCACATATTTATTCACCAACTCCAAGTTTATCATCCGATCAAGTATGAAAAATAATCTTGATACAGTGTATAATGTAATAAGCCATCGAATTTCCTAGAAAGCTAATCAGATTATCTAAACCATACTACACATTAAATATATGAAAGAAATTTCGAGTAAAATAAATGCTATCAATGTTATGCATAATAATAATAAATGTCTATTTCGAAGAAAGTTAAAATAGCTGTTTTCCACTTTTGCTGACTCCTAGAAATCTCTCACCGAATATCTAAGCCATACCACATATTAAGTATATAAAAGGAACTTTGAGTAAAAAAAAATTTATCAACTATTTAATAATTATATAGGCGAAGGAAGTGTTAGTCAAGATCTATGAAGCTTTCAAAACGAATGTTTATCAATTATTCAATAATTATATAAGCGGGTTGATCGAAGTAAGTGTTAAAGTCGAGATCTATGAAGCCGTTTGTAAAATATATTTAATGGACATTTTATTATTATCAATTATTCAATAATAAATATAGGAAGGTTTGATTGAAGCAAGTATTAATCAATATCTATGAAACTTGCAAAACGAATGTTTATCAATTATTCAATAATTATATAGGCAGGTTTGATCAAAATAAGTGTTAAAGACAATTTATACATTTTATTTATTATTTTTACACATTACGTGCATTATACGCGGAATCAAAATCATACTATTATTAAAACCTTTTCAATGTTAGTACTAATATGTTATAAATTCCGTACCTTATATGCAGAATCAAAAATGTACCTTTTCATATTCATATTCAGTGTGTTGCAAATCCCGTACCTTATATGCAGAATCAAAAACGTACCTTTCCATGTTAATATTCATATTCAGTGTGTTGCGAATTCTGTACCTATTCTGTACCTTATATGCTGAACCAAAACGTACCTTTTTAGCATTATTATTATAATTTTCCTAATTCCGTACATTTTCCGTATTAGCATACATCCATAAATTGCATTACTATTACATTGATAAATTTCAAGGCTTAGATTAAATACGTCCATTCCGTATCTAAAAATTTATTCCATATCAAATATACGGAAATTCTTATACATTCTATATGTTATTTTCTGTAGGGATGTCTTTAATAAAACAAACATGACTCAGCTATTTAATCATTTCCTTGTATGTGAATACCTCCATTCATCAATATTCATGATGGTCATGATTATTATTCAATACATTTGATATCATCATTGACATAACAAACAATTACACCACCCAAGTAGTGATAATACTAAGGCCATGCAGAGATGAAACTCTTAGCAACGTTAATAGTATTATTATTATTACGATTTCGCAAAGCAAAATACCAATTATTCGTTGTTGATAAGAATCTTATAATTACCCAGCAAGATCTGCTCCGCGTTTCGATTCAATTAAAATATTTATAAACTAAAATAAAAATATCAATACAAATAAAAAAAGTACCTCTGGTTAGTTATTAACACGTTTTCTTTAGGAGACCCAAACCAAACCAAACAACAACACTCACATTTTGTCACCTTGGACTCTGTCAAAAAATAAATAATTAATGTGTATATACACGTCGATCAAATCACAAACTTTTTTTTTTTTTTGTAAAAAATGTCATCAAAAAACACTAAAAGAAGACAATCAAAAAATAAAGGAGAAGCAAAAGAGTAAGTGTTTTAAGGGTGGTGATGATGGTCGCCACTCATCCTTACTCTAGTTTATATATAAAGATTGATGGTTACTACTCTAGTTGGATAAGAAATATTCAATTCAAAAAAAATCGTGGTTGTGATCTTTCTCAAGAAAGAAATTAGGGAGTCGAGTTGATTCTATCATAATAACATTCTATGGCAAATCTTCTATTGCTTTAGAATATGGTGGTTCTGAGGTAGCAAAGAACTATGAAGGAAAGAAATCTACAAAATGGCTCTTTGAAGCAGATTTAAAATTGCCAAAGGTTCTCAAAGACATGCTTTTGCTATTAAACAGTCATATTTCTGATATGAAAGAAAGAAGGAAACTCATAACTGTTGGCTACATCCATGGGGGTCTTCAACTTATGTTTATGACTTTAGATAATCCTGCTGGGTATGTTTTCTGTCTTGTAAAAAGTTCATTATACAGTATTCCTGTTTCTTTCCAAAATTTTACAGAAGCACTGGAGTTGATTGCTTCTGTATGGACAATGAAGGTAAATATTTTATTACATTTATTATAGCTAATGATTTTCAATCTTTGAAACTTACAGATGAGAATTTCAAATATAATATCAATAATTAACAAGCAAAAGCCTGTGAAATTTGGTGGCCCAATGATAAAAGGAGCTGATCAAGAAAATCAAAACACTAATATCTCAAAAAAAAGATCTATATCAAAAAATGATACTCCGATTTCAAACAAGAGAATAAATATAAATGATTGATTAATAACTGATGATGACAAAACAAATCAGTTTCAACAATAATATAAGATTAACAATAATAACACAGTTTGCTCTTTTTAACTTTCTTTAATAATCTTTAAAATCTTCAATTTGTTGATTTAAAAATCACATCATTTGACTTCAAAAGCTTTTTTAATTAAAACAAATAACGTTGTTATTATAGTGATGTGATTTCATTTTTATATTTATATTATTGGTTTTATAATAAAATATGAAACAATGAAATTGATCAAAGAAAATGGCAAGTTTCTTTTCAATTATTCAATCCATTTGATCCAATCTATAATTTTGTAGAAAATTGTGCATTTTATCAGGAAATGGAAACATATAATGTACACTACCTGAAGAAAGTATCCGGACACACCTTTTTGATAATTCCGCAAAATTTTACATAGCACAAAAAAAATTTTTTACATCAATTTTTAGCCTAGGTTCTTACGATCATGTATATAAATTTTAATGTTTTTAGCGTGTATATAAAATTCTCAGTTAAAAAAAACCGAAATACAATTAAAATTGTAATAATGATGATCAACAAAATTTGACGAAAAATTTATTTAAAAATTAAAAATTAAATTCAATATTTTGTAGCCCATCCTTTATTTGCAATGCATGCCTCAATTCTCCTTGGCATGCTTTCAATTAAATTAAGATATTTCTCTCAAGGAATTTTTGACTACTCCTCTTTCAAAGCAATCTCTAATTCTGTTGGATTTTTAGGGTGGCTATTTCTTTTTTTCAATTGCCTTTCAAGTTCAGCCCAAAGATGTTCAATTGGGTTAAGGTCTGGTGATTGAGAAGGCCAATCTGGTAGTACTTTAATTTTTTTTCGCATAATCCAATTTTTTACATCTTTGGCAGTATGTGCAGGTGCATTGTCATCTTGAAATAAATAACACCTGCCATTAAATTGTTTTCCAATTGTTGGTAGTAAATCATTTTCTAAAATTTTTATATATTCAAGGCGATTCATTTTACCTTCAACTTTAACCAATGGTCCCAATCCCTTTCCAGAAAAACATCCCCATACCATTATTCCGCCACCACCATGCTTAACAGAAGGAACCATATTTTCAACGTTATAATGTGTACCATCTGTATGCCAGACATGGTTTGGTCCATCATTCCTAAAAATCTTGAATCTTGATTTATCACTCCATATTACTGTCTTCCACTTTGTAACTTTCCAAGCTTTTCTTTCTAAACACCATTTCAGTCAACTTTTCCTTTGTTTCTCTGTTAATAATGGTTTTACAGCTGTGATACAAGAGAAAATTCCAAGTTCGTGAAAGTTTTTGTGAATCGTTTTTGTTGAAACTTCAATACCAGTGGCCTCAGCAAATTTGTTTTAATTTTATTCACACTTCTATGATTATATGTTTGTACAAGTTCTTTTAAAAATTTTTGGTCATCTTCATTTATTGCTTTGGGCCGACCACTCCTTGGTGCACTTTTCAAACGTTCAGCATTTCTGTAACGGGTAATGGTATCATGTACTGTACTTCTTGGAATTTTAAGTAACTTTGATATTTTAGTAAGGTTATTATTACTCATATGGAGGCCCAAAATGCTGGCTCGTTGTAAATCAGTCAGCTCTTCGTTTTTTGGCATTTTAAAATTTTTTATCAATCTAGATCTTTGAAAAAAAAATTTTTTAATTTTTTCAAATTTATCATATTTTATTAAATAATTATTTACACATGGTAAAAAATTACAAGAATATTCTCGAGAACCTAAGCTTCAAGTTTATATAAAATTTATGTATTTTTAGTACACAATATTTTGAGAAAATTCTAATAATTGTAAAAAAATTGAGAAGAAAATCACGATTTTAATTACATTTCGTTTTTTTTAATTGAAAATTTTATGTAGATACTAGAAACATTAAAATTTATACACATGATCGTAAGAACCTAGGCTACAAATTGATGTAAAAAAAATTTTTTATGCTATGCAAAATTTTGCGGAATTATCAAAAAGGTGCGTCCGGATACTTCTTCCAGGTAGTGTATGTATGCCCTGCACAAATGTGGGTAATTCACATGTAATATGCACTGAATAACATGTATTGGTGTATTAGTATATATTTTTTATACATACAGTCAAACTTCACCATAGCATATTCATGGTGCCAGCCAAAAAAATCCATTGTAACAAGAAATCCACTGTGGCGTGGTCCGTTATGGCAAGGTTTGACCATTTAATATCATATACAGGTATATTAATATATATACATTATTAAATTTTGAACCCTGAATTTCTTGGTAATACAGTCAGGATTTTTTCCAAATTTGGGAAAAAATTAGAGCCTCCATGTTGATCAATTCATATATGTTACAAACGAGTTAACGTGATACTTCCATGCATGTTAAAATTTTTATTTTATTTTAAAATACTCTGTAATGGTTGAAATAAATTCCTCCGAATATATACTCTGAGGATCACCTAGGATCACTGCGAAGTTTACAAGATATAAGAAGTTATTAATCGAAGAAAATTTCATTTTAAGTATAGTTTTAGGTTCACTTTTCACTTTTTTACTTCAATAATGTTTAAGATGATAAAACCAAAAATAGTAATAGCTGCAGTGAATGTCCTTAAGAAAGGCAGAATACTGCAGCTCTATTTTAAAAAAGATATTAGTGGAAAAAATGTGAAAAACATATCAGATGAAACATATTAAATGAGATAAAATAAAGGATCACAAAACTATTTGCAACAAATTGTCAATAATAAGCTGTAAGAAAAATTATATATATATATATATTCATTTATTAATAACTCTATTTGTTAAAATCATAATTTTTTTGTTTATTTAACAACTAACTATTTACTATAGATATAAGAAAATTCAAATTTATTTTCTCAATAATTCACATATATATATATATATACACTCAATGGACAAAGTTTGTATTTACCCAAAAATTATTTTGAGATTTTCTCAAAATTATATTAAATAAATATTTGTGCTCTTTACATCATTTCAAAGTTCTGATTCTCGAGAAAGTTTTTTATTAATAACAAATTTTTTATTTTGCAAAATTTTTATTATGAAAAAATTAAAAATAAATTTGACTTTAAAAATTATAAAATGTATGATCAATTTTTAACAGATAAAATTTTATGTTGTGGATTTGAAGATTCTGAATAATTAATTGATTTGAGGAACAGAAATAATGATGTATTGGATCATCAATTTTTAGTCAAATATTACCAGCAGATGATGAAAACGATGATAGCAGTGATGAAATAACATGTTACTTTGCTACCAAAGTTAAAAATGATATAAATCCATTAGATTGGTGGTGAGATAATGAAAAAAGTTTTCCAACATTATCATTGTTGGCAAAAAAATATTTTTGTGTTCCTGCTACCTCAACTCCATCAGAACGGCTGTTCAGTGATGTTGGGAATTGTATAACATCAAAAAGAACTTTTTGAAAAGAAACATGAAATTTATAATTATTTGTATATTTTTTAAAAAATAATAATCAAATTTTATCAAATAAATAATATATTTTAGTTGAAACATTTACGTTATTTGAAATACTTGTGGTTATTTGAAATACTTGTGACTATTTGAAATATTTATGACTATTCAAAATACTTATGACTATTCAAAATACTTATGGTTATTCAAAAGATTTATGACTATTCAAAAGATTTGTGACTATTCAAAATACTTATGACTATTTGAAATACTTATAACTATTTGAAATAATTATGATCATTCAAAATACTTATAACTATTTGAAATACTTATGATTATTCGAAATACTTGTGGTTATTTGAAATTCCATCCATTACCGAAAATCATCTGATGTGTTTCGAATATTCATAATTCTTTTTGGATATTTGATTATTTGAAAAGGGAGGTTAATGTTCAAATACACAGTCAGGATGTTCGTATTGTCTATTATACGAGGTTATATATGCTCTACGTTGTAAGGCGTCATGAATAGGACCTAGGTAACCACCAATTGGAAGTTGATTTATTATTTTTTGAGTACCGATTTTTTCTTTTTTCTTTTTTTTTTTGATATTTTCTTTATTATCTTCATTAATGGTCCACTAAGAAACAAATATCAAGGTTAAGGTTTTAATTTACATAAACAATTCTTTTTAAATAACTAGAGTGACGACGAGTAGTGGCAACCACCACCACCATCCTTATGATAAACACTTACTCTTTCACTTCTGTCGCATCATTCTTTTTTCTTTTTTTATTGTTAATATATTGTCGTGCAGGGCTGAAAATAGTACTTTAAAAATCAGGATTTTCCTTTAAAAATTTTTAACTTCCGGAAAAAAAAGAATTGCCGGATATTTTTCCTTTTTATTTTTAAGATTTCCAAAAAAAATTATACTAATAATGTATACATATATGTGTGTCACTACTTCAATATTTTAGAAAAAAACCATAATTTGTATCTTTTGAATTTTCAGAAGAAAAGTATTGACTTAATTTAAATCTTATTTCACTGTTATTAAATTATTAAATTTAAAAATACTGTATATACGCTTAAATATAAATTTATGTGTATTTATTTTCCCTTATTCAAAAAAATAAATTATAAATAAATAGTATAGAAAAAGAAGAATTAGATAATTTGACTACTTGAAGCATTTATAGATGAAACAAATATTGATGAATCAGATATAGAAGGTTCAGATGATTTGACAATTCAAGGCTCATATGATGATGATACTTCAAAAAAATCAATAAAAAAAAGTGAATTAAGTGAAACCCATATTAAAATGTCAAATAAAAATTGCATTTTAAAAATCAGGAAGAAGTTTTCATCATGAAGAGAATGTTTTGTACAATTTGTAAAGCACATGGAAAAAAAAAACAATTTGCAATTATTAATTTGCTATAGTGTTGGTTTCCAAAATTAGAGAGTTTCGCAACCATGCGAAAGTCAAAAGATTTCGCCATAAGTCGAAACTAGTTTTGATTTTTGACTATTGACTTTTGATTTAGTTTTGACATATAACTTTTAATTTTAGTTTTGACTTTCGCCTCTTCAAAATAGTTTTGGCAACCAACACTAATTTGCTAATATTATAATGTTATTATTTAGGATCAAAGAATGTTTCAAAATCTACTGCTCTAGCAACTCATGCACTTTCAAACCAGCATAATGGTTCTTTGCTTCTAGAAAGACAAGAATAACCATGCAATATTCTTCCAAAAAAGCCACTAATAATGGTAACAAACATATAATTAATATAATGAAAATGATTTACTGGATGGCAAAAGAAAATATTCCAATTTCCGAACTTCCAAGTCTTATTCATATCTTAAAAACTTATAGAAATAGTGCATTCGATTCCATTTTCTAGTGTAGATTGTGAAAGAGGTTTTAGTAAACAGATTATGTAATGCAATAGAAAATGACATATTGCACTCATTAATGATGGTTGGTTTAGAAGGTACTGATTTATTTTGTTACGATTTTAATGATGCTCTTAGTAAATTTTTTCAAAGTAAAAACAGAAGAATAAAATAAAGAAAATTTGAAAAATTTGAAAATTTTTTTTTTTCAGACCCTATTTCCAGCCCTGTTGTCGTGGCATCTTTTAAATTTTAAAAAAAAAGATTGTTAATCAATCGACCAACGCGTATATACAACATTAATGGATTTTTTTTTTGTTGACGCGAACCGATTTTTTTTTTTTGGAAAACAATTTATTTTTTGACAGACAAAACGTGGCTCTCCTAAAGAAGAAGTGTTAATAACTAACCAGAGGTACTATTTTTTATTTGTATTGATATTTTCATTTTAGTTTATAAATATTTTAATTGGAAATCAAAACGCGGAGCAGATCTTGCTGGATAATTATAAGATTCTTATCAAGATAATAAACAAATGAACGATTGGTGTTTTGCTTTTCGTAATTGTTATCAATAATAACATTAATATTACTATAACTAATTACAAGATATCAAGGCAGCATGACTGACTGTTGCAGAGGAAACAATTCAAGTATGCGATGTTTGATTATCGGGAATTTGCAGGCATTAAAGCACTCATGCTACTTTAAACACTTTACAGTCATTCACATCTTCCTCGTGTACACAAGGCTAATCTTGACCTGGCGACCCGAAGATATGATGATGCAACTGAATTCCAGAAGGCGCGTGGATCTGGAGTTTACCAAGACTGCACCAATCGTCAATGACGTTTTCATAATCTTCCCTCACAGCACCCAGACCAGAGAAGGCTGCTGGCATGTTGGATTAAAAGTTGCCCGCAACGATCCTACCTCTAGGGCAAGGATGAATCTGTGACCAAGTTGCAAATCTGCAGCAAAGTTGTGATATTAGGTGCACATAAACATCAAAGCAACGAGAATCTGCAACTCGTTTCAAGTGTAGGAGGTTACAATTCAGAGTGGGTTTGGCACTGATGTTAAGAGGAAAGTTGTAAAATAGTATTTGTTTTGTATAATTATTTTTCTAAATTCTCTGTTTCTTTGATACTAACCAATTTATAATTTTGGGTAGGGGACTGAATGGATTTTTGCCCAATCAATCCCCTGTCCTATAGATTAAAATTATTGCATGTTTATACACATTTTTGTCGGCAATATGGCCAATAAGGAAAAAGTCATAAAATGGTTTGACCCACTCTAGGATAGAGGAGAGTAGCTAAATGAGAGCATGTATCTTACAAGTATAAAGGTGACAGTTCAACTCTGCCTACTCCTATTGTGATAGTCACCATGATCAAGGTGAAAGCTGCAAAATAAAATGGTTCAGATTGGTATGCTATGTATAAATTAATCATTTTCATAAATTTTCTGTTTCTCTAATTTTTGTTTGACCAACTGAACTTGTTAATTAAATCAACTTTATTCTAGTGTGAGAGGGTGGTAACACAAAGCAATCATCACACAAGCACCAGCTATCAGTGATCAATGCCCATATGGTAACAGCCAGCCTGGTCTGAGGGGGAAGATAAGGAAAAGTATTGTCCAAAGCCTTCCAACATGTTTAAGTCCACTTCACCTGTGGGAAAAAAATTCCATTGCGCTGATTGTGCTTAATTGCACAGTCTTGCATGTTTGTGATAGGAAATTTTAATTAAATCTGACACTTGTAATCAACATCAGATTTATTATTCATAAGGAAAAATAATTTATGAACCTTAGAGATCTGTATTAGTCGTGGGACATTGCAGATCAAGTGTAATTCAATATAAACGTTACACGAATAAAATTATTATCGTCCACTTCAAAAAAAAAAATCTCCGTTTTTCATGTAACAA